GTAGTTAGTTAGTAACGTTAGTAGTAGTTAGTAGTAGTAGTAGTATAGTAGTAGTAAGTAATAATAAATTAAGTTACTTGTTAGTAGTAGTGTGTGTGTATATATATATATATATATATATATATATATATATATAAATGTGAGATTAGTCTACTAACTCATATGAGCATATGTGCTCATAGGAGCCCAACTGTCCATATTGAATCTAGGTCGATGTGACGGTCATGACCTCATTTTGCATTTGAATTTTAAGTTTTTTCTACTAATACAAATAATTTGAAATTTTAAGCATGTATTCTTAAAAAATAGGTGAATCTAATAAAAAATAAAAAAAAATAATTTGTAATAAATAAATTGACCAAAATACCCTTAAAACAATTTGAGGGTATTTTGGTCAATTTAATTTACGAATTATTTATTTTTCATTTTTTTATTAGGTGCGTCTCACCAAGATGTACACACGCTTCAAAATTTTTTTATTAAACTTTATGACAAACTCAGGCTCTCAGATTTTACATTGGATGGTTGTAAATAATTGTGACCTCTTTGTACCAAATGTAAATGTTCTCATCTTATGAAATCCCTATGAAAGGGCCACACATGCAATGGCTACATAAGAAAATAAATAATATTTTTACTTATAAATTTACCATCATCTTTTTTCTTTTTTAAGAGGGGATTTGGCACCGCCACGAACATAGGAGGTCCATAGAGAGCACCATGGCATCCATCTTATCCTTTGTCTTGGAATTTAATTTCTTTTGAGGCACGGGTCCCATGGCAAAAGTAACGCCTTTGGGACTTTAGCCAAGAAGAATTTGCTGGCTTCGGATTTTAGCATGATTCTTTTAGTAGGTTTAACGTACCCATCATAAATGGAAGCCATAAAAGTGAACTACATGGTGTAGACAAAATGTGTGAAGTAGTAAGCAATCTTGGACATATTACATTACATGGTGGGGGCTCTTTGTTTGATAATGAGTCTTCCTAGAAGGACTCTGGCCTCTTGGCTTTATTCTGTAGGCACTAATGTCCAAAGTTCAAAATCATGCTTCTCTTACCGTGATACAGCTAAAAAATGAACATGTATTCTTGTGGGAGCGCACTGTACACTTACCTCCTTCGGCAGTTTGTAGGGGTGGCAATGGACCCGGACCTGGACCCAAGGGGTATCCAATTTGGATCCGGGTAGGGATCCAAAAATTGGACCTAACGTGTTGGATTTGGATCCAAATCTTGGAGTCGAATACTATTTGGGTCCCAGTCCATGTCCAATATAGTTCGACTGGATTTGAGTCTGGGTCTAGTAATATTTTATGGGTCCCAATACATGAAATATATTTAAATGCATAGATATTTTAATTTTTGGGTCAGGTCCGAGCCCCAAATATTTTGGGGTCCAGGTCTGGTGAGGTCGGGTCCAAGTCGGGCTCGTTGCCACCCCTAGCAATTAGGCTAGACACAGTAATTTTTCTGCATGATCCATTTTAGAATTACGATTGAGTATTTCCTTTTGGGATTGTATGCAATGAGAACATTTATCTTTGGTACAAGGAAATCACAATTGCTACTAGCTATTAAATGTCAAATTGAATGGTTTGGGATGTCATAAAAAGTTTGAGGATTTTTTTTAAAAAAAGTTTTGAGTTTTGTCAATGACACACTGATAATCACATGATTTGAACTCGGACGATCAATAGTGATTGCCTCCTTGTATTAAAAATAAAATATAAAATTAGAATTTTAGTTTTTAAATACTTGGATCTAATTGCCCAAAAATTCGACAGCTCTTTCTTGAGTTGTATGTTTTATTTTATTTCTTATTTCTCTATCAAATAATCTGTTAGCTATAAGCTTTTTCTTTTGTTAAAGGGAAAAGTTTATATAAGTTTGAGACTTTAAACAATCAAACTAAGTTGCGTTTCAAAAATTTCACTAGAAAAGGTTGTTTTGATGCTAAAAAATCATCAAATTGATCATCTTAACCACAAGATGCATGGACATGAGAAAAAAATGAATTTCAAGTTTTGGAAATAGTGCATCTTGTAATGCATTTTGGACGGTCAATTTTCAAGATTTTCAACTTTTCATAGATCTGCTCGATCTATACTATTTTTGAAGCTTTTAAATTTTATAGTTAGAGAAGAACAACACTTGACCTTTTTTACACTTTCCATAAAATATTTTTTGTGCGTGGCATTGTTCAAGGTCAGTATTAGATGAAAATGTGCATTTTTGTTTATTCATGTTCTAACTAATGAATTCTGTTTTGCCTTTTGTTTATCTAAATTTTCATGATTGCATATAACTCTGCATTGACTGAATAAAAGAGAACAGGTTTCCGTGGATCGAGTTTGTATGTGTTTGGAAGTTTTGTTTGTCATGACTTGAATTTCCTACGGCTATGGACCTTATGGCCAAGCCTGTGAATGGATTTACTTGGGTGACTTCCGACAACAGTAGTAGAACAATTGCTGTCATTGCA